GAATGGGCATGGCACTGGGAATAGTGGGTGGCTTAGATAATTGGTGTTGCAATGCAGATGCAAGTCTAGTACTATTTTTAATTTGGGCAGTTTTCCCCACCAGACTAAAACAATTTATATGTAGAGCAGATTTGGGTTCCAAATAAACTTTAACTGTATAATTTTTAAAATAACCTTTGTGGCTTCCTTGGCTCCAAGCCATAGTCTACAACATACTATACAGTTTGAGGAAGAGGAAGAGGTGAGAAAAGGGTAATGGACAGGGCAGTTTCTGATCACTCAGTAACATGAGCGTAGATCCAGAATAACTATGCCAACTTCAGTTAAGTCACTTCCATGTAATTTAAAGCAGAATCTACTGTGATTCCTCAGTGCATTTTATATGGTCAAAACACCAATGTGAGTTATGAATTACCATAAATTTTTTTAACCATTTGGAAACCTGCGTTCTTTTGCAAAAATTAATTAGGCACTTGGAAAGTTAGGTATTGATTTTTTAGTAAGGCTTAAACTCCGGAATGGATTTTTTTTCTCTTTGAAAATGGAGGCCAACAGAAGCATTTTGTATATATAATACACTGTTAAATTTTGGAAGATTTTCTGCTTTGGCTTTCTTGAAAACTGAAAGATGCAATGAAGGTGTGAATATTGAATAGTTTCTAAACACAGTGATACCACTCTGTCCAAAGTATGCCTTTCTCTGCAATCTGAAAAACAAACTTGGGGCACACAAGCAAAAGTCACGGCCAATTGTTTCTCGTTTACACTGTTACTCAGTTTAGACATTGCCTTTTAGATTCCAGTTAGGACATACCACTTTTCAGTGCTGTTCCCTCCAGAGTGTGTAGCCTTCAAAAGTTAAAAAGTACTACGTGGTGTAAACTTTTAGTACTATTAGCACGACTGCAGAACTGTTGCTTGTCTTTGGTACTCTATTTTGGTTAGGGTGCTTATTCTGTAATACATCCTTTATTGAATAACACATGATAAGTTCTAAAATGTTTCATTGTAGTACTAAAATGTAGCTTTGTCTGATGAGTATTTTAGGAAGTAGCCAACTGTTTTGTAATGTGTCATGTGAAGCTTTCTATGGCATTATGTAGGTTAGTGTTTGTTCAGCCTTAGTATTGTTTTCTGATTTCATGTCTTGCCCGGGGATTAACTGCCACACATTTTCTTGAAATAGGGAGGGGGACACAGTGGTTTAGTGATTAACACAGGAGAACATTTAGGTGAAAATAGCTGCAAAACTCAAGAAACACACAGTTCAAACAGTTCAAAGTATACATGCTATGAAGAGAGGTAGAGAAATTTGCTTTCATAAAAATTTGCCAATCGCTCCATTATTATTTTTTTTTAGTTACTTTTTCTGCCTGCAGTAAATGCTTACATCAAGTCTATCTTGCTGTGTTTTTTGCATTGTAAAGCAGTAGCAAGTGTGACTTTTGAAGAAGAGAATCATTTTGCTTTCGTATTGAAAGCGTTAAACACCAGGGTAGAGACTTTTCTATGGGTCTGCCAGTAAATCATGTAGCATTCTGTCAGTGTTCAAATAAATAACTGGAGAAAATGTTCTGCTTTGCTTTCAGGAGTTGCTAAGTCGAACATCACTAGAGACTGAGAAATTAGATCTGATGGCTGAAGTTTCAGACCTGAAGATTAAGCTGGTTGGTATGGAAAAGGAACAGAGTGAATACGAAGAGAAACAGAACAAAGCTGAGGTGAGTTTCTTTCATTAGCTTGTTTTCTTTTTTTTTTCTATCATGTGTCTGTGGTATGCTGTCATACACCTGAGCTTTTGACCTGAAATCGGCATGCAATAGGATTTTCCGTGCTTACAGCACAGGCCGTATCATTGATCCTGTGAATTCAGTGAGGGATATGATTATGCATTTTTGGGATGTGGTTTCTTTTCCCCTCTCTCATTATACTTCAAAGGTTGCTGTTTGGCTTTAATCAAGGCACAAAGTCCCTTCCAGAAGCATACATTACAATTGGCATTCACTTAACCCTTTCCTTTCCATGGGAGCTGGACTGGCATGGCCACATGAGGCCTACCAGAGCCCTTCTCTTTCCTTGTTTATGTGACAGAAGACTGCCAGCTCAGTAGTATCAGGGATGCTACAAACACTTAGACAATCACCCTTGGTGATTTTAATGCATTCATGGCACTTGGGAGGGAAAGGCAAGGGGCAGAGCATTTTCCTCAAATGAGTCTTTCCCCTTGTGGTTACATAATAAATAGTGCAAAAAAAAATGACATGCATTGGAGGAATTTCTAATCCTTACTCCCCTTCAGATATGGAGAGTTCTGGACAGCAAAGAAGCTTTGCTTTTTACCATATTGGTTAAGAAAGAGAGCATGAAACGGGGTCATATGAACAACATCCATTTCATGGTAGTGAGCAGCAGCTGGGAGCTGGGAAGGAAAGCGATTATGGAAGACTAATTCATACGAATTGCCCTGTGTTGCCCTACTCAGTGGCCCTGTAAGGGGACCAACTAGCAGGAGAGGATTACCTGGCAAGGGAGGATTACTAGGTCCAAGATTTATACGTTGCTGAACTGAAAAAAGACTTTATGTTCCACATTGACTTAGGAGAATTTGAAACCCAGGCAGTGTTAGAAAACTGTTTGCTCTCCATAATGTTGCTAGTGGAATATTTGATAACTCTGTGTAAGTAATTTACCTGCAGTGACATAATATGTTTGGGGTGTGTTTGTTTTTTGACTTATTTATCCTCTGAAGTTTTCTTTAGAGATTAAAAGATAGCTTAAAGAGAGCAATTTCTGGCAGAGGCTGCAAGCCAGAGAGGCACCAGCTGCTGTTTTTACCACCTGTGGCCTTCTCACGCTCTTGTGTACAGAAGGCCTAAGCAGGCTCGTACTACCTGAAAATCTAAACGGGTCTGTGCAGTGCCTAATTGCTACAGATGGCAGCCAGCTCCCGGCAGCCGCCTTCCTGAGAGGCCTTCAGCACTTCCCTTTACATGTCGAATACGAGGATGAGGCTGCTTAAATTATTGCAGGACATGCACAGTCAGCCTGACTCCTGGAAAGCAACAAAGCTTTTGAGTGCATTTGCATTGACAGGACTTTTAAGTACCCAGTAGGTCTGGGCCTGTGATGAGGGTGAGGCTATGACCTGTGAAATTCTTCTGCCGCTGCAAACGAGGTGTGTGGCCCCCTTGGATGGAAAAGTTGAGCTTTATTGGCCTGGAAGCCT